TTTGATTCACTTAATCTAAATAGGAGGGAAAATAATGGAATATAATGCCATACAATGCAGCAATAATTAAATGGACATGAGAATAGATAGGAACAATTCGTCAACAGCCAGAATTACTCATGTCAATAAATATATATATATATAAATAAATGAATCAAAATTGTGTATTGTTTTTCAAAATATATAATAGAGAGAGAATCCCCATTAAATCTAATCGAAATATCAAAATTTAAATTTAAGCCTATTCTTTTAACAAATTCTTAATCATGTTAAGAGGCCTAATTAGAAATTTTTAAATGTTAATAAAAGATTAACATACCCCTTTATAATTAAAACACAGAGACACAAACATAAAGATAACTAACACATTGTAAATTTGAAAGTAAGTAATAAGATAAAATGGAAATTTGCCAGAGTAGATCCTAGTAAGAAAAGTTAAAATTCAAAAGAAAAAAAAAAGGAAAACAATAATGTAGAAAACCGAAGGATTCTAGAAGTTTTGTAGCTTTTTAAATTAGATTTAAGAACATGTGGAATGCGAGTTGAGTAATTAAAGAGAGGGGGAAGAGGAGACTAATGGGAGACCTGAGGAGACTACCCGATATGATCATAGGGAAAGAAGGAGAGGAAATTAAATACTACCTTCGGGTTAAAATTAGCCAAAAAGATACATTTGAGATTACAAACGCATTGTCAAGCTCGCTCTTTTTGTATTTCCAAATTTACTTATCATGTGTATTTGTTAGAATTTTGATGAAACTTTTAATATGACTAACTATTATAAGAATTATTTTAAAAAAATAAATAAATATAAAAGACAATGTGGACTAAGGTCTTATCTTTAAAACCAAATTGAAAGTCAATCTATTTTGTCTCTTATATTATTTCAAGGTAATTCTTGCGGTAATCGTAATTCTAACTAATATATTTGATTAGCAAGGGTGTTTAAGAAAGACAACACCTATTTATTACAAGTAACTAATTTAACCAATTTTTTTAATTTACTCAAATTAATTAACTAACTCTTATATTAAAGTTCAGTGACAGTATATGATATTTTTGAATGCCTTAAAATAATTAGTGTGCAGGATCTCTCTCAACAAGGATTAGTTAATAAAAATTTGTTGTTTTTTTTGGGGGGGGGACTTGCTTTCAAAAAAAAAAAGACATAGATTGAAACGAATGGACAGCAGAATCAACTAAATTTTATTACAACAACTAGACTTTTTTGGGCCGCCAGTTAAAAGGCTTGCATAGATGTATATTATATATAGTATAGTCAAATTATATGAAAATAATACTTTGAGACACTATTAGATATATATATATTTAAAGATTAAAACTTTTAAGGAGAAACATATGATTGAATAATTGTGTAAGTCGTAACCTATAAAAATTTCTGCCAAAATATATAATGCGATATAAGTAAAAGCACTTAAAATATGTTGGCAAAAAAAACTTAAAAATGACTATTATATGTGCGTATGTGAATATAAGAACATTAAAACTTAGTTATAGCTAACTTTTTTTTAAAAACATTTATCATCAAAACTTATACTCCATCCGGTTCTAAATATAAAACTTATTTTATAGTATAAATTATACTATAAAATAAATCTTATATTAATATCAGGAGTACTAAACAAAAATGTGATAGATCTTTGCTTCTAACATGCAGTATGCCCAAAGCCCCAAAGTCCAAAACCACCAACAGCGACCTCAGGATTATTAATGCGGCCCAATTTTCCTCTTTTGTAATCAGTTTCGCTGTAATGTTCAGAATGACCAAATTATCAAAAGAACAAGTTAGTACAAAGACAGGCATTAAGCTTGAGGCATCACATCAGAGCACAACAAATCACATACTGGGATGAGGATATCTTAAGATAACAAAACTTCTAAGGGTGTAGTTTGGATTAATAGTAACAAAACTAGCTTTTTATTTAATCTGATTTTTGTAAAAATGAATTGCAGTAAAAGTCAGTTGGTATTAATGTGATTTATATTTAGATTGATGTTTATAAAAAGTCAATTTGACAAATTAAAACTTGTTTGAATGAGTAATTAAAAAATAAGTTTAAATGCAGAATGACTAAAAATGGTACAAGTCTTATTTTATATATACATAATGTATGTAATTTAATAAATTTAAGAGAAATATTAAAATTAAAAGTATAAAAATAAAGAGTTAACGTATTTTAAGAAAAATTTATAAATACTTTTTTGATTCTTAATATAAGACCGAATTAACTAATTTAACTAGATCTAAATCTAGTTAAATTAGTTAATATGATATTTTTTTTTTAAAACATCTTAAGTTTTTTTTTTTAATTTCATTCCTTCCTTTCGTACTTGATTATAGTTAAGGAAACATCAATGAAGTTAATTTGAAAAAAAGTTGATAATTATATGAAATAGGCTTTATATTTAGGACTGACATTAATATTTAATTAGGCTCTATATTAAAAATCGGAGGAGTAGTAAAAAACACTTAATTGGATATATTTAACATAATTTTTGTGCATATAGTTATTGACTATTATTTTATATTTTTGCAAATTTTATATTTTTGCAAATTTCGTAGTAGGCTTTCAACATCTAACGCCGCAAAATGTAGCTTCATCTGCAACTTAAGATGAAACAAAAAGTCCATTTAACAAAAACACAGTGCCAAACAAATAGACTTCTTCATATAAGCTATCAACGTGCATTTTACATTTTCTCAGGCAAATTAGCCACTGCGAACTTCTCCACATATTTATTTTGTACATCATAAAGTATTTTTAAAATCATGATTTTATTCCATTCAAATACCACCTAAATATAAATGAGAGAATTTGATCTGGGCAAAGCATGGGGTCCCTGTATAATTAGCAATTTAGCATACTATAATTCTTCCCTATGAGTATGTATAATCTCAAAATCTTTTTTTTTTTTTAGCAGAATGTATAATCTCAAAATCTCAATTTGAGAATATTTCGGGTCATCATGAATCTCATCCCTAGCAGGATCAGTACTTAAACAACTTGTAAGGTACAATCTCAATAAATACATACATGTATATTTATGTGAAAACTGGAGTTACTTTTAGGAACATTTTAGGATTTTAATTTTACATATGACCAAACTATTTTGTTCAATGGGTCTTGTGTTTTCAAAGATGTCGGCAAGTGACCACGATCTTTGATGAATATTTAAGATTTCATATACTCCTTATTCAGCATATTAAAGTGTCATAGTTTTGTTATATACTTGTTTATTTTTAAAATTCATGTTTTCATTATAAATCACTTGTAAGAAAAATTTGAAGTTATAAATATATGTATTTAATGATTTTTTTAAAAATTTTATCCTAGTTTAATTCTCTTTAAAAAGAGAGAAAGAAAAGAGAGAGAGTTCGGAATTTTTTGTAAATGCAGAGAAATGAAAAGCACTTTAATAAGGAAAAATTTTAAGAAAAACTTTATCAATTTAATCCATTTCATGATATGTGAGAATAAATTACAAGTAATGATAATAAAGAGTAAAGTGGTATATTATATATAAATATGTCACATAACTATATGAAATTAAGTAAATTAAACTTAAAAGATCACAGAAAAACAATGCAAGTTGCAGGAGGCATGTGCATTTTCATTTGTATGAGGAAAAAAGCTGAAATCAAGCATAAAAATCTAGATGGCTAGGATTGATTCAAAGATTAATGGAATGGTTCAACTCTGTCCTACTTAACTGAACATTTTATAATTTGATGGTGACGTGTGATTAAATTATTAAATACCATTATTATATTAAACATGTAAGTCTTTTATTCGCCATCTAAACATGTTGCTTGAATTTTGTTCATTTTAATATTATCACACTAATCCTAGACTAATCAATGATTTGTCCACTTCAACAGTCATATATTGGCGTGAACATTACTATTTATTACTGCTATGCTCAATGTAAGATTATATATAATCTTATAAGCTGGATAAATCGGTTTAAAAATAATAATAAATATAATATTCTAAAATAATTTATTTAATTTTTTAAATTAATCAACTAGATTTTATATTAAACATATAAGATAATCCTATTTTGTTACTATTACTGGCGCACTCCAGTGACATATGATTACCTACGGCAATAAATTTTCTTGGTTCCTTTCTCAAATGGAATGACTATAAATTCTATTTCATTTTTTTTATTTTCAAAAAAAAATTTTGGTTACCCAGAGTATTCTCCCACCCGAACGGTGAGAGATTAATCTCTCAGGGTACTATCAGTTGTCATAGCAGGGACCCTCTCAACAGTATTTGTTCCATACACACCGCCTTAAAGATTGAACCCGGAACATGATGTTTAAGGTGTCTAAGTTCCTTCTACTTAGACCAACACTTGTTGGTTATTTTCAAAAAGTTTAATTATAATATCAAGATATATCCTTTATTTAAGATTACATGAATCAATTATAATTTGATTCAATGTGCAATCAGTAATATATAATTTATAGAAAATTATAATATTCATAAATCACGTATTGCTATTTTTAAGACTGTGTTTAGTTTTTTTTTTTTTTTTTGAATGACTGTGTTTAGTTAGACCTTCATATTCAAATTATTTTAGATCATTATTTGATTGTAATAAAATTGATTAGAAAAATAAACATCTTATATTAAATTATTTCCATATAATCATGATCATATCAATTGTGTTTTCTATAGTCGTATTGCCCAATATACAATTAAAAGCATATCATTCTAATTACTTAGTTGCTTTGACCAAAATTGTAATTAAATTTTTGTGACAACCATATATAAAAATAAAAATGTTTCCATTTTTTAACTTTTTTTATTTACATATAATTTCTTACATTTCACTATGAAGTATGCACATTTTATTTTTTCTTTTAGAAAAGAAAAAAGGAGCTAAACTTTCTGGATGAGCCACTAGGGTTAACTCCAACAGGACCAAAAGCCTTTGCCCCTGAGGGCCCTGGACTCTCTGTCTCTCTCTTTCGCTTTCTCTCTCCCCACTGCCAGACCTGTTCGGGTCATCACTGCCTCTCACTGCAACATTGGTCTTCTTCCCCTCTGGTTTAGGGCTCAATTTCACAGCTTTTTCTTCCCCAGCCTCTTCCAATCTTGGTTTTCGAGAATGGAGGCTTCTGCTCTTAGCTTCGTAGAGAAGAGGATTTGGATAGGCTCTCTGATGGAGGCTCTGGCGGTGGAGACTGTTCTTGCTGCTGGGAAATGCCTCGTTTGGCTTCTGAAAGTGGTATTGTTGCCCTTCTCTGCTCTATTTGTGGGATTTATTTCCTATTATATTTGTAATTTATTCTCTTGCTGTTTTTTTTGGAAATTAGTCTGGAAATTGCTGATTTAATTTAGTGTTTTTGCTATTCTTTCTGGGTTTATCAGAGTCAACTCTTAGTTTTCTCTGTTGTGTGGGTTCCAATTTCCCTGTCATTCATCTACTTATGGCTTCTGTGAATAACTTAGGGATCTCACTTGAACTTTCCCCTTCTATTTTATCCTTTTCGATCAAATGCTTTCTCTGCGTTGTATTTTTCTTCTATGGATGAGCTACTCTAAAGATTTCCCAGCTTTGTAGAATTCAAAGGATAGAACTGGTTCGTGACTTCATGTTATACTTAGAACAGTGATGCACAAATCTTCTGCACTGGAAATTCTTCTTGATGTTTCTACAAAACAGGGTGTGTTCATATACAGAGGCTTCCTTATTCATTTGTGATCCAAAATCTTACTTAGCTGGGTGAATGGCTGATATTTCTGTTTGGGTCAGTATCGTGTGTGTTAAAGGACATTTTAGTGTTTAAAACTTCACCTTTGCCTTTTCTTTCCCTGTTTACAATTCAATCATTATTTGCGTGCCTTTAGTATTTAGCATAGGCAGGTATGCTACTTGTATGCTAATTAATGGCCAGGCTTCGTGGGATTCAAGATGCAATGTGGGGCCTCCTATACTTGTTGCATTATTCATGATTTAACTTGATTCAGGATGCTTTGTTTCACTCGCAACAATGGTTCACAATATAAAGTGCTCTGCTCTTGAAGAAGTGTGATAGTGATATGTGTTTGGGAAAATTATAACATGAGGTCTCTTGCTGATTGTATCTATATCAAGTCCTAGCTTGGTTTCCCAGGCTTAGGTCTGTAAAATGTGAATTGTTCCCACCCTGTGTTCTATGGCTAGAAAAGGGCGTTTTACTCCAAATGACTCTGATCTCAATCCTTTCATTCATTTCTTTCTTTCTTGCTGTTCCTAGTATTTGAGAATCGTATGTTATGAACTGGAACTGTTGACAAGTCCAACTGTGTGTCCTTAAATTGTAACCATATATTTTTGACCCAAAAAAATTGTAACCGTATATGCTCATACTATCTGCCCTTGTTTTTAATTTTTGGCTATTGGTTGATGTAGACTAACCTAATACATTCTTTTCACACTGAATCGATATAAAGGTTCTCATGTTCTGTGTATCTAACGCAGACTGAATCTCTGTTGACTGATGTCAATCATTCAGTGCCACCAAAGTTCACTCAAATGGATGGAAGGTGAGATTAAATTTGTGCAACTCTTCGGAGGGTACCTCTTTATGTACATTTGGAATGTCCATTTCATCCCAGTGTTACATGTTAATTCTCTGTCAGGTTTCCTTTAGATGAACTCGTGAGGGGAAAATGTGGTTTCATAGAATGCAAGGATGGTAGTGATGAAGATGATGATGAAGATGACCAAGATGAAGAAGATGCAAATGATCAAGATGATGATGATGATGCAGGAGATGAGGACTTTTCAGGTGGTGAGGAAGAAGCAGATCCTGAGGCCAATGGTGCAGGAGGAAGTGATGATGGGGATGAGGATGATGATGAAGATGGAGACGAAGATGATGAGGAGGACGGGGAGGATGATGATGAGGAAGAAGAGGAAGAGGAAGAAGAAGAAGAGGATGATGAGGAGGAGGTACCCCAGCCACCTGCTAAGAAAAGAAAGTGAGAAATTGAGAATTATAGTAGTAGGTAACATTGTTTTCTTCTCATCCCCCTGTAATGTTCTCTCAGTCATGCTTAGTTCTTAGGACAGTTCTCTTATCTTCCTTCTGGATGGACCTGTTGTTTTACCTTGTGTTGGAGATCATAACATCATAATGAATGTATTCTCATTTGTGATTTTCATAGCTGGGCATGAGCAGACAAGGTTTGGTGACACATTCTTAGCGTCTATTCAATGAAATGGGTTATGTTCTCACTGGCCAGGCTTTTAACAAATAGCTCAAACCTTTACCATCTGTACCCAATAGTTCCCCGTTGACATTTGTAAAAGCCAGTTCTCTCCTATTTCCTCTCTATCAGGCGATGCGGAATTTCTTAGTTATCACATCTCCACTTTCATCATCCTCTATGGCATCTTTTGCTGTCCTCCCTTAATTCTCTGGCCTTCTATTTTCTGTTTGGAGTTTCATTATCTCATATTCACTCAAGTACTCGATCATTCTCTATGCAAGTGCATTATGCATCCTCTGGTTTAGCCTCTTGCAACTTCCATTGATCTCCGGATTCTTCATCCTCTGTTTTTAGATCTAATAATAAATAGGTAAGAAATATATATTTTTTCCAATATATATTTGTAGAAAAGGCAAATGAGGGAGAGAATGGGTGAAAGGAAAAAAGATAAAAGAAAATGTAAATGGCAAATGTACATGTTTATACATCTTCAAAGTGGAACTCAGAAATAGCAAGATCCATTCAAAAACTTGCAGCTAGTAAATAAAATTTGATTTTTTTTTTTTTAAAAAAATTAACATTGTTGTTTGTTAGTATTTAGTAATAATTCAAAGGGCAAAAACTAATGCTAAAATGTTCTACTTATGGCGATTTTACATGTCATTTCAATAAAAGAGAAAGCAAAAATTAATACTCTTCTTGTCTTTAATGTATGACCTAACTTGAAAGTTGATATTGGTTTTACATGTAAGTTCTTTTAAAAAATTAACTCTATTGATAATATCTCAACAATAATAAAGTCAGAGAGAGAAAGAGAAAATTATTAGAGTATTTTAGAAAAAAATATATATATCATATTAATTAATCTGACTAATATTTTAAATTTACTCAAATTAGTCAATTAAGTCTAACATTAAGGATTCAAAGACTATAGTTTGTGAAATTCGATAATAAGATTAATAAGGATAATATGGATAATCTACTTGACTTCTACAACGACTCTAATGTGTTAATTGACTTGTAACCGTTGGCAATAAAAAACTTGAAACTATTTTCCAAAAAAGGTACGACACTTGCTTAAAAATTGGGAGCATTTAGAAAGATTGCTTCAAAAAATAAGGAGCTATTAATTTTGATTTTTAGTATAAAAAGTAGTTAATTAAATTGAATAAATTAAAAAATTAATTAAATTAGTTATTTGTAATAAATAGGTGTTGTCTTCCATAAATATTTTTACTAATCATGTGTATTAGTTAGAATTATTATTTAATAAAACTTTTAATATGTGCAACTACTAAAATGATTACTTTAGAAAAAAAATAAATATGAAAAACAAAGCATATTAGGATTTTATATTTAGGACCAAGTTAAATGTCAAATTAACTTTTATATTAAGGACCGAAAAAGCATATGTTATCCTTTGTTTAATTTACATTAAGGATTAGAGGTAGCATGTTTCTTAATGTGAATGAAAAAAAAGTATTACCTCTGATTCTTAATATAAGAGTTAGATAGATAATTTAGATATATTAGAAAAATTAATTAAATTAGTTATTTGTCACAAATATATGTTGATCTCCCTAAATTATTATCTCTAATCATATGCATTAGGTGATTTAAATTATCTCTTAGTAAAATCCCTTTCTAATCAATGGAGATATTTAATTTTAGGAAAAAAAAAAGCGATAAAATGAATTGAATTTTTATATTTATGATTAAATCTAAAGGAGAATAATAATGAGTTCTTAAGAAAAGAAAAAAAAATTACAAAATAAGTTTAAAATGTTGTTATTCTCCACTATAGAACTTGTCATTACACACTACTCAAATTATTATCGAGATTTTTAATAATTTTTTTTTTTAAGATATGATTGTAATGCTCCCTGACGTAGCTTGTGGATTAGTTTTTATATCAAGTATTGGAGGAGGTATATGTGTCTCATATTAAACTGTTCAAGTTCAAATTCTGATACAGCACACGGAAATACATGAGGAAGCCATCACTTCGATAACTAACGTTGACGTGCAAGCAAACAGGGACGCATCAGGCGGTGTGACAGTTTGTTTGTGAGATTTACGTAAAAAGAGATTCTTTTTTTTTTTTGTGTGGAAAAAACAAATACTCGTATTTCTTTTTCAAAAATACCCCTAACTTTTCGGTTCCAAAATCTTTGTAGAAAAAAGAAAACAATATTACAAGCTTTAAGAAAATCTATCTCAACTGGTCTTAATTTGTTTGGGAAGACATGAATGATGCAACGTACTTCTTTTATTTTTAATATAAAAGCCACGTACATTATTAATATAGATGGATTAAAAAAGCTAAATTAATTACTTAATTTTAATAAATATGACTTAATCTCCCTAAAATACTTCTGTAATGTTAGATTATATATCAATTTATATGTTAGATAAATTAATTTGAGAGAAGAATGATAAACATGAAATATAAAATAAATTAATATCTTATATTTAGAATTAAAAATCAAATCGTTAATGAACTTCTATATTTAAGATTAGAAGAGTATATAGAAAACAAATTCAGCCTAACAATTGAAGCATATCAAAAAAGTCCTTATAAGGAGCATTATTTGGGTTTGCAAGCCAAATGGTACCAGTTTGGTTACCTACCCTACACAAATTTGCTTCTCAGATTAATTAAATTCATTAGTTTACTCCAATGCCAACTTACATCACTAGGAGCATTACGTCACCAGCAGAATTTTTTCTTCTTTTGAATAACATAAAGACAGGCTAATAATATAAAAACTAGTTGATTAAGTTGAGAATATTAAAAAAATTAGTTAAGTTAATTATTTATAATAAATAGGTGTTGTCTTTACTAAAATATCTTTGTTAATTAAATGTATTAGTTAGAACTACCATTATTATGTTGGGAAAAAAAAAGAACTACCATTATTATAAGGACTACTTTAAAAAAAGATGAATAAATATGAGAGACAAAGCGGATTAGGTTTTTATATTTAGAACCAAAAAAAAAAAAAAAACTCTTATATTAAGGACCAAAGGTAGTATCAAATTTGGAAATTAAAGTTACAAGAAATGTATGTTCATAATTTAAAATGCAAAACAATATATCCATATCAATTTATATTTATTCGTTATTATGAATTGCACGCTTCATTTATCAAGTTACCTAAAATACATAAGGTTAGTTAACAATATCATTAGTTCAGGTTAATATAATTTCTGATCTCTCAAGTTTACTTTTATTTATGTTTTAATCCCTTAAATTTTAAACAATAAATTTTGGTAATTTAAGTTTTATTTCATTTAAAAACAATAGTCCGTATAATCTAATAAAAACTTGAACTTATTTGCCTATTGAGAGCACAAAACTTATGACTTAAAACTTGAGACACCAAAACTAAAATGAGAATAAATTTAAGAGGGTAAAAATTATATTAACCCAATTCGTTATATATATGTGATGGAGCAAATAACTATGCATATTTTCTTATAGTATAATGAATAATGATGGGACAATTCAAGTGAGATACGACTTTCTGTTCACTTGTAGTTTGGAGGCCCATTATATAAGATATCTAAGTATTAATATAAGAACTTATTTAATTTTTATTTTGATTCTAATTATAAGAATCCAATCTATTTTGTTTTTTATAGTTATTTATTTTTTCTCAAAATAGTCCTTATAATAAAGGTAGTTCTACCCAATATACTTGATTAGTAAGGATATTTTAAGAAAGACAACACCTATTTATTATAAATAACTAACTTAACTTGTTTTCTTGATATGCTCAAATTAGTCAATTAGCTCTTATATTAAGGACCAGAAAGAGTATTGTGTTACTACTTGTAAAAACGTATCAATATGTTGACATTAAAATATTAATACATACTATTTCCGTCTCTTAATATAAGATTTAATTTGACTTTTATTTTGGTTCTAAATAAAAAACTCTAATTCACTTTGTCTCTCATATTTTTGCTTTTTTTAAGATAGTTTTTCTAATAATGATAGTTCTAGCTAATATACATTATTAGTAAGGATATTTTAGGAAAGACATCACATATAATTACAAATAATTAACTTATTTTCATAGTTTATTCGAATTAGTCAATTAACTCTTATATTTAGGAATGGAAGTGATACAACAGTTCATAACTGGTCTGTTTCTATACTTCAAAAATAAACTGATAAACGTACTTGATTAATGAACTAACGTTAAAAACAACAAACGTTTTCATTCAACATGAATTTCTTCTTTCATTAATATTGCATCCTATGAAACTGAGGAAATTTACGTAACATCAAATTAACTTCTTACCATATATAAATACTGCCAACACGAACATCTTCGGCACCAGTATCGATCAGATCAAACATGGCTCGATCCAAATCATCAAACATTTTCTCATCAGTCCTTTTCTGTGCAACCACGTTAATGTTTCTGTCAAATATTCTGAACATCGTCCCAAAAGCTCAGGCAGCACGGGACATGACCATTTCTGCAGAAGAAGCAACAAAATGCTTCAGTTTCCTAGGAGACGTACCAGGTTGTGCAGAAGGAATGTTGGGAAACTGGTCGTTGATAAATCACCGTTGTTGCAAGGCCATCCTTGATGAAAGTCAACTTTGCTGGGATAAAATTAACCCTGTTCATGCAGAAATCCCTCAAATCTACAAAGATTATTGCACTGGAGGCTTTCTAGAACCTTCTTCTCCTTCTCCATCTTCTTCGATTGAGACGACTCAAGATCTTGAACAGTGTTGGGCTTCTTTAAGGAACATAGAAGGTTGTGTTGGGAACATATTTTATGCATTGCTTCATGGTGACTTTAATAAGGTTGGACATGAATGTTGCCAGGCTGTGGAGTCCACTGCGGACGAGTGTTTGTTTAAGATGTTCCCTTGGAACCCTTTCTTTCCCATTTTGCTTATCAGGTTTTGTACCAATCATTAATAAGTCTC